ACAGGGGAAGCACCCTTCCGCAGTGGGGTGAGGTCATGATGTAATCCTCTCTTCTTCAGTTCTCCATCCTGTCTAGACTTCGGGCACTCAGGCATACGTACCTGGAATGTTTTTCAAGCCACCAAAGCCAGCACTCCAACTGGGGTTGACCACGTGACCACTGGGCTACGGGGCGGCCCTATTAGGTTGTCTCTGTTGTTTCTATTATAAACTCTGCTGCCATATACTCAATCATTTCTCCCAGTGTTTGAGCACACCTGCAGGATTTATTCCTAGGATCGAATTGCCTGGGTAAATCAGAGAAATGACTTTCTAATGGTGGGATTTCGGTTATCCGTGACAGGCATTGATGAGGCAGCTTTACACTGACGTTTTAAGTGTGTTAGATCCTGCCATGGAGTCAACTGTCTATGGGACTCCTCTCTGGTATATTCAGTGTTACTAAATAATATTTGTGGGCTTGATAATTCTTTTCTAAAGAGAAAAGAAAGAGCTTAGGGAGAAAGGTGGCTTCTGGGAGACCAGCCAAAGCTCATTGATAGATCCCATCTCACCTTAATTCTAGAGGAAAACTGCTCTGGGGAGTGAGATACCTAGGCCACCCAGCAGTGGGTTCACTCGAGACCCTAATGGGACATCTGAAAAGTTCAGGATTCATACCAGAAGAAACATGTGGGTTCAAGAGGCTTTGGCCCTATATCCACCTCATGGGGTGCAGGAGAATGGTGCCTGCTATTTCTAAGATGTATGAAAGATGTGAGTCCTGTTAACACCATGTGGATGGATGGGTGCATAGAGGCCTGGATGGATAGACGTGCAGGTCTAGACACGTAGGTACCAATCAAGCAAGCATGAGTCTAGACCTGCTGTTGGATTTGGGCTACCACTTCCTAAAAATCCTACAAGTTCAAGGAACTTCCTTGGTTTCCTGAGCCTCAGTTTCTTTGTCTGTAATAGGATTAGCAATGTCTTTCTCATGGGGCTCTGGTAAGGAACGTCACAACAGGTGATGTATATATAAGCCCCAGCATGGTACCTGGCACAGAGGGCACCAGCATGGGTGTGGCTGCTATCATTTGTTAAGAGTGGGCATTCTTTGGTTGGTATATTGAGGCCATTTCTTTGGCAGGAGCCAATGGGCATGGCTTCATCCTCTGTGTGACCCCCGCCTACACGGGGATAATTCTATAACACAGGAGTTTTCAGCCTTTGCTCCCTCCCAGCATGGGAGGTGGGCAGCATTTGGGTCCCTGGTACACTCCCAGCATGCATTGCACAGGGCAGGATTTCTAGCTCTTGGGTTGTCAGGCAAGTCATGATGCACTTCCATGTTGAAAAATACGTCATGACTTGCCCGACAACCTAATACGTTCATTAATCTACAGGCTAGGGAAGTAAGCTAGAATCCATGTACGTTTATATTAAAACAATAAATAAGTAAGGGAAAGAAAAGGCAGCAGTCTTTGGTGTTCTGGCTACAATTTAATTGCAAAATAGCAACCGACTTGCACCTGCTGGCTCCCAGAGCCATCGTGGGGGGACGAGGGCTAACAGATAGCTGTGGGGTCTCATTTCAGTGGCTCTGGGTGAACTCCATCTCCTCCAGATATCAAATGAGGACAATTGTCAGGGAGGTCTGGCTGCTGTCTTCCACGTGCCCTCTCTTTGGCCTTTGCTCAGTGCCAAGCTGAGGTGCTAAGTCCTCTGCAGTGGCCCTGAAGACCACAGTCATTCAGGACCTTCTCCAGTGGCTCGGCTGCTTGGCCAAGTGGCTCAGCCTGCCCGGCCCAGGCGGGTTCTTTCAGTCTAGCAGAAAATATGAGCTTGACCTGCCAACGCAGCTGCTTTAAGCCTCAGCATCTCCCACTGCCATGTGGAATCCAACCTCACCTGACCCCCCGCTCCCCACCCCAGCCTGGCAGAACTCACTGTTCTCTCTTCCATGTCCCAGAGGCACTTTGTTCCTGTGGCTATTAAAGCACTCACTGCTGATTCTAAATACATCTCTCCCTCTTCCAAACAAAAATACTCGGTTCGTTTTGTTTAGTAACAATCTTATACCATATCAAATTCTTCATTAAAATGACCTGACATTTGATCTATGCGATTAGAATTTAAAACATAGGGCCCAGCAAGTGGCATGGTGGTTAAGGTGCTGGACTCCCTCATGGTCAGCTGTGGTTCAAGTTCCGGACCAGGCGGACTGCTTTCCCACTTTCCTTCTCTCTTTCTATCTCTCTCTCTGGTGAGCACACCTGCCCTACAGCAAATTAAAAAAATAATAACAATAATAAATACAATGAAATAAATATATCTTTAAAAATAAAGAATTTAAAATGTAAATTGATTTGGGGCCAGTCTGTGACATGCTGGTTATGATGCCTGAATCTCTCCTGGCCAACCACGCAGTTCAAGTCTCGGAAACGGTGACCCAAGAAACCAGTTGGGCTCATGTGCATGCACAAAATCCTGAAAGGAGGGAGAAATGGAGGAGAAGGGATTACGGTGTGACCAGCCCCATGGAGGAGGTGCTCTCTTACTTTTCTCCTCTCTCTCTGTATTTCCCTCAGTGAATGCACATGCCCTCCAGCAAATTATAAATAAGTAAAAATTAAAAGTAATTTGGAGTCGTATTGGGTTCTTTTCATTAGGTAGGAAAAGTTATGGAGAATCAAGTTTGTCCAGAACTCTCACTGTGAAAACTACCCTTGAATCATGCTTTAATTCATCCTACAGTCATTCAACTCCTGCTTTTATGCCCTTATTCTAAGCAGTGGAGATACATATTATAATCTATATTAGAATACACACACACACACATATAATATATAATAGATGTAATAGATACTATATATGTATATATATATGAGTGTGTGTGTATATATGTATATGTATATGATATATATTAGAGTGAAATATATATTAGATAAATATATTGGAGTATATATTAAATGCTCCTATTCTAAGCACTGGAGATATATATTATAATCTATATTGGAGTGTGTGTGTGTATAATATACATAATATATAATATGCCATATAGAATATATATTAGGCATATATTATATATTAGGTATATATAATATATATTA